ATCTTATGTTTGAAAAGATTGGGTAGAATCAAAATACATCAATTTTCAAATATTCAAAGCTCAAAAATACAAACAAAAAGATGTCTGAAATTAGAATATTTTAAATCATCTCCAATACTTAATAAAATGTAAAATTAGTAAAAACTTTCTATTTCCACGATTGATTTCTTTTGATCCTTTCAAAAGTAGAGAAAATGTAATACTAGAATTAACCTAATAGCCATGTTAATTTTTTGGATATCCATAAAGCGTTTATGAATCAGAAATACTTTTAAATTTTTTGGACATCCAAAAGCATTTATGAGTAAAAAAAATTAGTCCTTTGCCACACACGTTTTGTTATGCGTGTGGCAATTGATTGCCACTTTTTTTAGTTTATTTCGTAACTTATTTAAAATGCCGATTTTATAATTATTCTAAAAATTTGAGAAATAAACAATAAACCACTAAGTAAGAATCTTTTATTTGCAAGTGATCATTTACTACAGTGGTGAAAATATGTTAAGTTTTTGTATGACGATGTGGGTTCAAATCCCGTCAGTTGTTAAAATTTATCGCTTGACAAAAAAAAAAGTATGAATCTTTTATTTTTCTGAAAATTTAATTAATTATTTTTACTTTAACATTCTAAATAGAGAAGACATGCTTAATATATTGAAAACTTTATTATTTTCCGGTGCTGACTTTATATATAGATACAAAATTTAAAGTTCCTTTTTTTTAAAACACTGAAGAGTGCTTACTGAACAAAACATCTTCCAAGTGTATTTCAGAAAGTATTTAAGAGTTAGAGACAATTTTAATTTTTTCTACCAAAGACAACTATAAACGATTGTAATATAACTAGAAACGTTTTTAGTCATTTTTGAACTATCCCTAGACAGAAACAGAGTGAAATTGTTTTTTAATTTTTAAAAGGGGTGTGCTATCCACACACCCTAAATTACTTCTCACACACCCTTATTAATTTCTATCTGTTGATCTTATTCAATTCATCCGATCCGACGGCCGAAAATTAGAAGGGTGTGTGAGAAGTAAAATGGGGTGTGTGGATATCACACCCCTTTTTAAAATTGAGTTGAGACTTGCCATTCAGTACTACTGTTTGGTAGTATTCATATTTACTTGTAAATGAGAGATCTTATATTTGAATCTTGTAGATGACAAATTTGATATCAAATTAAATTACTTATTATGTGGCTTAACGGAACTTCTCTATCTCTTTAGTGTAAAAACTATCGTAGTAGATAAAAGAGATTGAATTGAGATTCGGAAAAACTTGAACAAAAACCCCTTTGGACATATATGGATTTTTTGTTTTTAATTGAAAGAGATATGGTTTATAAATTTGTTTGGCCTAATCGGATAAATAGTCCCTGTGGTCATAAGGTATTCGGATGATAGCCCATGTGGTAAAAAAATTCGGATTTAAACCCCTGTGATCACAGTCTGTTAGGATTTATGCCCTTCTGTCATTCCCCCATTAGGTTTAGGTTGGCCAAATCGGATAAATGGTCCCCGTGGTCATAAAGAATTCGGAAGATAGCCCCTGTGGTAGAAAAAATTTGGATTTAAACCCTTATGGTGTAAGTCTATTATGATTTATGCTTGAAATTAGAGGTTCTGTCATTCATTCGTTAAGCTTACAAGTGGAGCAGAGTTTCTCTGAGTATCTATCAATAAAAAATATCTTACAATAAAAAGAGGGGGGGGGAGAAAAGATTTCAGTTTATGGTAAAAAAATTCATTCATCTCAGTTATTTCACAAGAAGAAAAAGACGAAAACAGAGGATCTGTTGAATTTCAAATAGCTAGTTTCACCAATAGGATACGAAGACTTACTTCACATTTACAATTACACAAAAAAAACTATTTATCTCAAAGAGGTTTACGTAAAATTCTGGGGAAAACGCCAACGATTACTGTCTTATTTGTCAAAGAAAAATATAATATGTTATAAAGAATTAATTAATCGGTTGGATATTCGGGAGTCAAAAACTCGTTAATTTTATAAAGGCATTTTGAATTATTTGATTTATTAGATCTTGAATTTTAATGAATTATGTGATTTATTAGTTCCACCTCGTTCTGTCACGTCTCCTCAGAGAAACATTGCTCCACCTGGAAGCTTAGCGGAGAAATGACAGAACCTCTAGTTTCAGACATAAATTCTAACAAACTTAGACCACAGGGGTTTAAATCCGATTTTTTTTTTTTAACCACATGGATTATCTTCCGAATACCTTATGATCACGGGGACCATTTATCCGATTTTGCCAACCTAAATCTAATGGAGGAATGACAGAAGGGCATATATCCTAACAGACTTAGACCAGAAGGGTTTAAATCATAACAGACTGTGACCACAGGGGTTTAAATCTGAATTTTTTTACCACAGGGGCTATCATCCGAATACCTTATGATTACGGGGACCATTTATCCAATTAGGCCAATTTGTTTTTACTGCCAAGATAAGTTTTGGTTTACTTGACCTTGACATATGAGATACGACTGAAGGGAGATGGATTGTCTGCCCTTCTCTTTCTATACCCTCCTTATGTCTTCCTGTTTTGTGCGGTCACGATTAAATCACGTCAATATTTTATATTAATTTTTTTTTATAAAAATAATAAGATAAAAAACAAATGTTAACGTGAATTAACCGTGATCGCATAAAATAAGAGAGCATGAGGAGAGTATGGAGAAGGGAGGGCAGACAATACATCTCCTGACAGAAGAGCCGACACAACTTTCCGTATCGTTTCCCACAGACGACGCCAAATGTTGATGCACAAAACCGGAGGTCTTGGTACAACGTAAATCCGACCGTGAATCTGCAAGTAATGTAAATAACACAAGATGTATCGTGGTTCACCCCAAGGTTTGAGCTAACGTCCACACTGATTGTATTATATTTCTCTGAGAAGTGAGGGAGAGAAAGTGAGAGCTTTGCCCTAGATCGGAGAGGCTTCCGATTTGTGAGTGTGAGGATGCCCTTTTATAGAATAAGGCTCATCCCCTAATTACATATTTACCCACTCCTTTATTACATAATTACATTTAAGTCCCCCGAGTATTTATATGAGGCCCTAAATATGGTATAAATAGATATCAAATTAAATTACTTATTATGTGGCTTAACGGAACTTTTCTATCTCTTTAGTGTAAAAACTATCGTAGTATATAAAAGAAATTGAATTGAGATTCGGAAAAACTTGAAACAAAAGCCCCTTTGGACAGATATGGATTTTTTAAATTTTTTTTAATTGAAAGAGATATGGTTTATAAATTTGTTTTTACTGCCGAGATAAGTTTTGGTTTACTTGACCTTGACATATGAGATACGACTGGAGGAAGATGGATTGTCTTTCCTTTTTTTTTCATACTCTTTTTATATCTTCCTGTTTTGTACGGTAATGATTAAATTATGTCAATATTTTATATTAATTTTTTTTATAAAAATAATAAGATAAAAAACAAATATTAACATAACTTAACCGTAATCATACAAAACATGAAAGAATGAGGAAAGTATGGAGGAGGAAGGGCAGACAATACATCTCCTGACAGAAGAGCCTCAGGTCAGGCCCTATAGGGCTGTAGATACGTGCCCTTTGGTCTAAGACGTCATTTCAAAGATACACTAGGGACAACGACGTAAATGCGCCGAAATCCTGTAGAGTGCTTTGACTGCTGATATGTGATATGTCCTCCTTTAGTTTTATTTCTCCACCCTTTTTATTGTATAGTTTTAATACTAAATTTAATCTTATGTAAAATAAATAAAAAAATGAATATAAAAAGATAAAACTAAAAACTTAAATAAGAAACGAATCAAGTTGCCGCTTTGTCCCTTCATTTCTCACCTTGTTTTGTTTTTCCAAAATTTCCAAGATCTGATCATTTTTCTAGTTATTTTATATAGAACTTAAAAATATAAGTGGGTCGGAAGATAATTATTTTTAAACTTTTTATGGTGAATAAAAATAGAGTAGTTCTATCGACATATCTATTTTGATTACTCAAGAACATTTTCTAATTTTTTAACGTTAACTAAAATAAATTAAAAATAATCCGTAACGAAAATTGATAAAGTTATGTTGAACTATAACGTTAGTTAAAAAATTGTATGAAAATAACTATGCTGATAGCGTTCATCGTATAAATAATCCTCAATATTAAACTACTAAAAAATTAAAATTTGGGAGCTTCCCCGCTGCTGAATTTGTCGATATTTGTGCCACATAAACGCTCTTCCTCTCTCTCCTCTCCTTTATTCTCCACTGTTTCTGCTCAGCTCAGATCACTGTATTTTTAGCTCCTCTCTCTGTATCTGTGATAAGATAATCAAATAATGAAGCCAACCCCATAAAATCCTCTCACATATTCTCTCTGGAAAGTGGCAAAACCAGCTTCTCTCTCTAGGATGATTATGATTAGGGTTTCTCTCTCTCTTCATCCATCTCTCTGATGCTTCTGGAGATTAACTTTCTTCTAACACTATGATTTTGAGCGTTGTGTTTCTGTTCAAGCCAAAGGTTGCATTGTGTAACAAGCTTTTGTTCATTGTATGAAAGAAAACAGTGGATCTTTATGTTAAAAAAGACAAGAGATTGAGGTGGTGGTTTTTGGAAACTCAAAAAAAAAATAGTGGGTTTCCTGTGTTTGTGTCATATTTTTGGACTTTTTTTTGGAAAGAGAAGAAGTGGGTTTCTTTCAGTTCAAAACAGCTTGAAATTTTGTGTTGTATTCAAAGTTTCAGTTACAGCAACCAATAACAGAGATTTCTTTGAAGAAGTTAAAAAAAAAAAACAAAAAACCCAAAAATCATTTGGGTCTTCACCAAGAAGCAAGCAGCTATTGATCTTCTGTTCACACAAACCCAAGAATCTTCTGGCTCAAAAATCCAGTCCTGCTCAACCGTTTACACTTAATCTCTCGCTCCTTTATCTCTTTCTCTCTCTCTCTCTCTCACTAGACGGACTTTACAAAGTAGGGATCTTTAAGCTCCTTCTGAAATCTAAAGAAAAACCAAAACCAACTAGTTGTCTCTAGAGCTCTCTCTCTTCCTCCTTTCTCTCTCCTCCCACCCTTGGTTGTCTATATTAGCTTTTGAGCTTTTGTTGGTTTTTGGGGTTCGGGAAAATGGCCATGGCGGTGGCTCACCACAGAGAGAGCAGCAGTGGGAGCAGTATAAACAAGCACCTCGATGCCGGAAAATATGTACGTTACACATCCGAGCAAGTTGAAGCTCTTGAGAGAGTCTACGCCGAGTGCCCGAAGCCGAGCTCTCTGCGCAGGCAACAGTTGATCCGGGAGTGCTCCATTTTATCAAACATTGAGCCCAGACAGATCAAGGTCTGGTTCCAGAACCGCAGGTACATATGAACAGGACTGATGGGCAACTGGTTTTTATTTTCCTCATTGTTTTTTCCCTTTGGGGTGCATCAAGTTTAAATTTTGGGTACTTTAAAAACTTAGTTTTGCTTAACTTCCTAGTTTTGATCAAAGTTCAAGGCCATATATTTTTTTTGTTAAAATTTATCTTTTACAAACGGGTTTTTTTTTTTCTCAATCTTTTCTATATTTGGGGTGATTTGAAAATTGGGTTTTACTCAATTCCCAATTACTGAAGGTTTTTAGTGTTTGATTTGGCCTTGAGATTATGCATTTTGGGATAAAAAGAAGGGGATTTGGTGTTTTGGGTATGCAGGTGTAGGGAGAAGCAGAGAAAAGAGTCCTCAAGACTGCAGACTGTAAACAGAAAATTATCGGCAATGAACAAACTGCTGATGGAGGAAAATGATCGATTGCAGAAACAGGTCTCTCAGCTTGTTTGTGAAAATGGTTATATGCGCCAGCAATTGCATAGTGTAAGTATAATTATCAAAGATTTTAGGGAAATAATTGTTTTTTTTTTGGTCCAGGATTGGAAGTCAATTTTGTCCTTTTGCAGTTATTTATTATAAATTTTAATATGTTTTAGCCAAGTTGTGAGATTTCAGACACATTAATGGCATCTGCAAGTTTTTCCTTTATTCCAATTTAATGGATTTTATTATGGCCAACTGAATTGCAGAACAATTTAGTGGTTGCTAGAACTTAACCTCTAAGTGGTTTTCTTGTAGGCATCAGCTGCAACTACTGATGCAAGCGGCGACTCTGTGGTGACAACTCCTCAGCATTCTCTCAGAGATGCTAATAACCCTGCAGGGTAAGTTTTACTACTGTGGAATTTCACCTTTCCTAATTCCTTTTGTAAATATTTACTGGCATGGTGATTTGTTTTTGTGTTACATAATCCAATCTTCATTTTATTATATTTGGCAGACTCCTATCCGTAGCGGAGGAGACATTGGCAGAGTTCCTATCCAAGGCTACCGGAACTGCTGTCGATTGGGTCCAGATGCCTGGGATGAAGGTTGCTTCTTGTTTTTATTATTTGGGAAATACTCGTTTGTTTTCCTTCTCCCTTGTTAAATCATCATGTAATCAAATTGTATAAATTGTTGTACATCTTATGCGTGTTTTATTATCTTATTCAATTGTTTGCCAGCCTGGTCCGGATTCAGTTGGGATATTTGCCATTTCACAAAGTTGCAGTGGAGTGGCAGCAAGAGCCTGCGGCCTCGTAAGTTTAGAGCCTACGAAGGTAAGAATGTCCATTTGATAATGGAAGAAATTTTTGCTACATCTTTGTAGGCAGCTTATTTTCATGTGATAAGGTTCATGAAGCATTTGGATTTGAAGTTAATTATTCATAAACAGATTGCAGAGATCCTTAAAGATCGTCCATCTTGGTTCCGGGACTGTCGGAGCCTTGAAGTTTTTACAATGTTTCCTGCTGGAAATGGAGGAACTATAGAACTTATATATACACAGGTGAATGAAGACTGTTGAAACTTAAATTTTTTCCACGGATGGATGATGGTTGGTCACCTTTTTTTATATCCAAGGAATAACTGACATTTAATTGCTTCAGACATATGCTCCAACTACATTGGCTCCTGCAAGGGATTTTTGGACCCTAAGATACACTGCAACTTTAGACAATGGCAGTTTTGTGGTAAGCATTCTGGTGTATATTATGTTGCCATACTTTGTGGAGACCAGTTTATGAAAAATACAAATTGGCTTTCCGTCTCTTTTTTTCATACTCCTGTAAGTGGATACCTAATGTGCTGTAATTTTTTTTTGTTTTCTATGTTATAAGGTGTGTGAAAGATCTCTTTCCGGTTCTGGCGCTGGCCCAAATCCTGCTTCTGCTTCACAGTTTGTTAGAGGCGCGATGCTTCCTAGTGGTTATCTGATTCGACCATGTGAGGGTGGGGGATCAATCGTTCATATTGTTGACCACCTGAATCTTGAGGTATCAGTTTTGGATTCTTATTTTTGAAACTCTCTTAATTAGGAAAACTCAATTGTTTCTCATCTTATTTCAGGCATGGAGTGTGCCAGAGGTGCTGAGACCGCTTTATGAATCGTCTAAAGTGGTAGCACAGAGAATGACTATTGCTGTGAGTACTTTGTGATTGACTTGATACATTCCTCTGTGCAATATATGTAACAAAGTACTGGATATTCTGATTTTCTGTATAAAAAGTGCACTTTCTGAGCTCCCTTCATGTGATCATCTTCCTTTACATCTTTAAACATATTAAGTTTTATGCCCCTTGATATGAACCAAAGGCAAAAGTAGAATTTCTCACCTGTAAGTTTCCGAATGCTGCGGTGTGCTAGTGTTAATAGCACGTTGGCTGTAGAATGGAAATATAAACTAATAAACCCCTTCCCTCCCCACCCTACAAAATTGATTAGCTATATTGTGCATAGAAGTACTAACTAAACTTCTTTTATGAAGGCGTTGCGCTATATCAGACAAATAGCCGAAGAGACAAGCGGTGAAGTGGTGTACAGTTTGGGTAGGCAGCCAGCTGTTCTGCGAACTTTTAGCCAAAGATTGATCAGGTGGGGTAATACTCTTCATTTATTGGTCATCTGCTCATTTGATACATCTGTTTGTATAATTCCTTGGTCACCTTTTTGAGTGTTAATAACCACTCTTTATCTTTCTCTATTATGTTTGTAAATAAATTTTAATTACCGATCTGTCTTCTTGTAGAGGCTTCAATGATGCTGTCAATGGATTCAATGATGATGGATGGTCATTGGTCAACTGTGATGGTGATGGTGCTGACGATGTTATAATTGCAGTCAATTCAACTAAGAATTTAACTTCTACTTCGAACCATGCCAATTCCCTTGCATTACTTGGAGGTGTTCTCTGTGCAAAGGCTTCCATGTTACTACAAGTAAGTCTGGAATCTGATGACCATCAATTTTGAAAATGATAGTTTCTGTGCTGATTGAGTAGCCTTTTCTGTTCTGGGAAAATAGTATAATGTCCGTGATTCTTCTTTACCGCTTTGTTGTTACTGAAATTGGGCATTTAGCTTTTCTCTGGAGGGCTGTATTTAAAATGATTTTGTCCCCTCTGCATCTATTAATATTGCTTTGTCTTGGATTTGTGGAAATCAGTGTTAATCTTGATTGACTGGGAGCGTATATGCTTTATCCAGCTAAAACCCTAAATTAAGCTAATGAGAACTTGGTGCTTGTTTCTTTTTCAACTCCAGAATGTGCCCCCTGCTGTTCTTGTTCGTTTCTTGAGGGAGCACCGTTCAGAGTGGGCAGATTTCAATGTTGATGCCTACTCCGCCACATCTATGAAAGCTGGTGCATATGCTTATCCTGGGATGAGGCCAACAAGGTTTACCGGGGGACAAATTATCATGCCACTTGGCCACACAATTGAACAAGAAGAGGTATGCTGTTTCAACTGGTTCAAATTTTCGTTGTACTATTTTTTGTAACATATGAACCTCTGTTGTGAAACATTACATCAACAGGATAATAATTGCAACTGCTTTTTGTCATGTTGAATTGAAAGTATATTCTACGGAGTGCTTCCCATCCCCCTTTTCTTTTTTCTAACTTATTTGGATTCCAGTTGCTTGAAGTTGTTCGACTTGAAGGCCATTCTCTAACTCAAGAGGATGCTTTTGCATCGAGGGACATTCATCTCTTGCAGGTGCTTTTTCCTGCTTCTTGTTTAGCTACTGCTGCCCTTGCCACTATCTGTTGGGGTGCTATCTGCTTATGTACTGATCATACGAAAAAAATGTTCTGTTTCTATTGACAGATATGTAGTGGAGTTGATGAGAATGCTGTCGGAGCCTGCTCTGAGCTTGTTTTTGCTCCAATTGATGAGATGTTTCCAGATGATGCGCCATTGCTTCCCTCTGGTTTCCGTATTATCCCACTGGATTCAAAAACAGTTGAGTTTTTTTCATGCTTCATGTCAGTTTTACCTGTTAATTCAACCAAGTGGACTTATGAATCAATATTGTTGTAGCCATTGGGCCGTACTGGAATTCATATTAATGTGTTTTTGGGCTCCCCCAACATTAATGTCTTGCAATTATGAATACAGGGTGATTCAAAGGATACTTTGAATACACATCGAACATTAGATTTGACATCCAGTCTTGAAGTGGGCTCAACAACGAGCAATGCAGCTGGAGAGCTTACTACATTTCACAATACTCGATCAGTATTAACGATCGCCTTCCAGTTTCCATTTGATAATAGTCTACAAGAGAATGTCGCAAACATGGCACGGCAGTATGTTCGAAGCGTAATTTCATCTGTGCAGAGAGTTGCGATGGCTATATCTCCATCTGGATTGAGTCCGTCCGTAGGACCAAAACTATCTCCCGGCTCCCCTGAAGCTCAAACACTGGCTCACTGGATCTGCCAGAGTTACAGGCATGCTCTTCAATGCTTTTAGACCGCACGCATGATTAATCTGTTGGGAAGAATTCCACCATATTTCCGTATGATTTCTGAATCCTTTTCTTTTTCTCCTACAGTTATCATGTTGGGGGTGAATTACTGAGACCTGATTCCTTGGGCGGTGACTCGTTGTTGAAACATTTATGGCATCACCAAGATGCCATTTTGTGTTGTTCATTGAAGGTACAAGTGCAACATCACATCACTGACACAGATGCTAAATCTTTACATCATTTTTTCCCAGTATCATAGCAAATTGAGCATGCCATTCTGTTTAATAATCCGTGGAGATCGTAATCTGTGCAATTGTTCGTTCTGCAGTCAATGCCGGTTTTCATCTTTGCAAACCAGGCAGGACTTGACATGCTGGAGACAACATTAGTTGCCCTTCAGGACATCTCATTGGACAAGATTTTCGATGAGTCCGGACGCAAGACGTTGTGTGCAGACTTTGCTAAGCTAATGAACCAGGTATGTGTTACATCAGATCCATCCATCTTTTCCCGTTGTAGCCTAATTCATCTGTTATTGTTTCTTCCTTGTCAGGGGTTTGCATACTTGCCGGCTGGCATCTGCATGTCGACGATGGGACGCCACGTATCGTACGAGCAAGCGATTGCATGGAAAGTAGTTGCAGCAGAAGAGAACTCTGTCCATTGTCTTGCCTTCTCCTTCGTAAACTGGTCTTTTGTGTGAACGTTTTAATTTATTCCATCCCTCTCACCTTTCTTCCGCTTGAACATGCAAAAGAAGCTTGAGAAAAAAGAAAAGCAGAAATGTGGGAAAGGAAAAGAAGTTTTGTAATATATTTACCCCGGAGGTTTGCATCATATTAATTTAATTTAATTTTTTGCTTTGAAGCATCCAAAATCTGCTACTGTGTTGCAATTTGCTTTGCTGACATGCATTTAAGTAATCAAAGTAAACATGACGAGTTTGGTGATGAAAGATTTTGAATTTGAGGAGAGTGATTTGATTTACCTTTGGATGGCTTAAGGATGGCTCCATCCTTCTTCCAACCATTTGATTTTTAGGAATTTTAACGAAAAGCTTTCGATTTTGTTTATTTTAATGAAAAATTATATTTTTATACTAAAAAATTAATTATGTTACTATTTATTTTACCTTTTATCTTGTTTTTATCGTTAAAACTAAAAATTTTAAGCTATTTTTATTAGTTTTCCTAAAAATTTCTTTGATCCATGTAATCGACTGTGAAGACCGGAACGACGATGTAAAATTACACTCAACGGAAAGACTCTAGGCTAATCAAGTAATCAATTAACATTCAGTGCTCTTCCTGGAAGAGGTGAATGGAGAATGTTGAGTTGGAGTTGGTGAGTTGTCGATATGAGTAAATTGTAATAATGGTATCTTAACTTTAACTTAATTGGAGTAATGATCCCTTAACTCATCAAAATGTGCAGCTATGGTCCCTTGACTAAAAAATCATTATCATTGGTCCCTCAACTTTAATTCAATTGGAGCAATGATCCCTCAACTTTAACCTAATTGTAGCAATGGTCTTTTCAACATAACTCATTTTAACAAAATTCTAACGAAAATGATTATAGCTACACGTTTTGATGAGTTGAGAGACCTAAATTGTAACAATGGTCATTCCAACATAACTTATTTTGACAAAATTCTGACGAAGTTGACAAAAAAGACCATAACTACACATTTTCATGAGTTAAGAGACCAACAACAACAACAACAAAGCCTTTTCCCACTAAGTGGGGTCGGCTATATGAATCCTAGAACGCCATTGTGCTCGGTTTTGTGTCATGTCCTCCGTTAGATCCAAGTACTCTATGTCTTTTCTTAGGGTCTCTTCCAAAGTTTTCCTAGGTCTTCCTCTACCCCTTCGGCCCCAAACCTCTATTCCGTAGTCACATCTTTGAACCAGAGCGTCAGTAGGCCTTCTTTGCACATGTCCAAACCACCGTAACCGATTTTCTCTCATCTTTCCTTCAACTTCGGCTACTCATACTTTACCTCGGATATCCTCATTCACAATCTTATCATTTCTCGTGTGCCCACACATCCCACGAAGCATCCTTATCTCCGCTACACCCATTTTGTGTACGTGTTAATGCTTCACCGCCTAACATTCTGTGCCATACAACATCGCTGGCCTTATTGCCGTCCTATAAAATTTTCCCTTGAGCTTCAGTGACCTACGACGGTCACACAACATGCCGGATGCACTCTTACACTTCATCTATCCAGCTTGTATTCTATGGTTGAGATCTCCATCTAATTCTCCGTTCTCTTGCAAGATAGATCCTATATAGCGAAAACGGTCGCTTTTTGTGATCTTCGCTAGATTGCTCCGGTCATTAGTGTGGATAAGTATATAAATGGATAGAGATAGGAAAGCAAACACCAGATGTACGTGGTTCACCCATATTGGCTACGTCCACGAAATAGAGGAGTTCTCATTAATTGTGAAGAGTTTACACAAGTACATAGGTTCAAGCTCTCTTTTAATGAGTACAAGTGAATGATTTAATACAAATGACATTAGGAAATATTGTGGGAGAATGATCTCGTAATCACGAACTTCTAAGTTCCGAAGTGTGGTATCGTCTTGGCTTGCCTTATCTGTCTCGTAGGTAGATGTGGCATCTTCTCTGGAAGTACTCTTCCTCCATCCAGGGGTGATATCTTTAACTAGTGGAGATGCACAAGGTAATGTATCAATTTCACTTGAAGCTTACTTGTAGTTTCAGGCTTGGTCAAGCGCGATACAAACCATGTAGTAGGAGTCCTCCAAGTCGCCGAGCTAGGGGATCTGCTGAAAGAGGTGACAGACAAGGTAAGCAATTAGAGCTCCAAGCAATCAGTCCCAGATCAGAACTTTGATTTCGAGTTCCGGCTGATTGTTCACATTCTCCCAATCTTGCAGGCAGCATGAAGGATAAAGAGAAGAAAAATGAGAAGAGATGATATGGAATACTTTTGCTTTTGAAGAAGTAACTTTCCACAGGCTTATTCTTGAACTGGGCTGGAGGGTTTTTTGGTTTCCTCCAGAGTATAAGGCCGACTGAAGAATTTGAGGGTCAAAACAAGTCCATCAAATCTATAGTACGTTCGACCCTGCTGATATGGGATACTTTTGCTTTTGACAGAGTAGTGGATGTATCGGCACGTGTGCTGTTACGCTTGTCTCCACATGCTTCCTTGTATCCTTCTCACTTGCCTTATATGTTCCTCAGGCAGATGCGGTATCTTCCCTGGAAGCATAAGATGTTGAAGATGAGTACTCGAAAGCAATGCCAGGTAAGTAATCAAGTAAGGGGTTCCAGGCAGTCAGTTCCTGACTGGAAGCTTGATTCCAAGTGTTGACTGATTGCTCTCTTTCTCCTTGTCTTGCAGGTAAGAACAAGGCCATAGGAAAAGACAGGGAAAAAACATGATATGGGATACTCTTGCTTTTAACCCTGATGATATAAGATATTCTTGCTCTAGTATAGCTTGTTTGCAGAGGTATTATCGGGAGGAAAGAAAGCTGAATATTTCGAAAGGCTTCTTTGGGAGTGCCCTCTCAGATATGAGGAAGGGTTGAGCATTTTTGCAGGTCTGCCTGTCTGTTGGGGATGGAGGTCAACATATATAAGAGTCTCCCTAACAACAAGTAGTAATGTTATTCCTTTACCCTGCTTGGTAATAACACGGTAGTGGGAGCTGCCAGCTTCACATGTTTTAACTCTGTCAGAGCACTTTGAAAAAGTGGTCTGTGGTATCTGGAAAGCTGATGTTGCGTGTAAAGATTACAGACAAGCTTTATCCAAGGAGATCCGGCTCTTAAAGTTGGGAAAGTGGTGCCTCTTCGGTTTTCGAACAAGCAATCCTGTCGGAGATCTGGCTCTCGAGATTCAGAGAACGATGTCTTTTCGATTTTTGAGAAAGCAATCCTGCTAGGGGTCTGGCTCTCGAGATTCGGAGAGCGGTGTCTCTTCGATTTTTGAGAAAGTAATCATGTTGGGAGTCTGGCTCTCGAGATTCGGAGGGCGGTGCCTCTTCGATTTTGGAGCAAGCAATCTTGTTGGGAGTGTTTTCTCGAATGTGAGAAAAGGTTGGGCATGTTTGCTAGTCTATCTTGCCACGAAGCACAGAGGTTGACACACAGGGACTTTCCAATTATCCAGCAGTGGTACTGTTCCTTTACCCTTGTGGGTAATAATATGGTAGCTAGACCTTCAAAATTTATGTGTCTAAACTTTGTTAGTGCTGTTTCTTTGCTATTCTTTTACCCTTCTTGGTCAGAGCGGTGTAGTGGGAGCTGCAAGCTTCACGTGTCTTAACTTTGTCAGAGAACTTTGGCAAAGTTATTTGTGGTACCCATGAGCTAATGTTGCGTGTGGGAAGTGGGTGATTGAACAGTAAGATTCATGTGCTTTCTACTTCACCAGAAATCTTCGACATAATGCCCATAATTTCCGCAAAGCTGACAGGTGCTGACAAGGCTGGAAAAGTATGTGCCTCTTCGATTTCTGAGATCGGCCCTCGTGGTCTTTGAGCAGCCCAACTTTTGAGAAAGCAACGACTCGTGGTCTTTGAGCAGCCCAGCTTTTGAGAAAGCAAACGCCTCTTCGATTTCTTAAGCTCCGTCGAGTGCAGATTTTTATAGAGGCTGACATTAAGTTCCAAAGCACACTTGAATCTCCACCAGTAAAAGCTCAATTCTTGTACTTCTAAGATCTTGATTTGTCCGACCTCTTCTCTCTTCAACACCTTTGAAAATGTCTGGCCCCTCCGACCGTCATTTTGACTTGAACCTTGTTGAAGAGGCAGCCACGCCTTCTCCAGACAACATATGGCGCCCATCCTTCGTCTCCCCTACTGGTCCTCTTACCGTTGGAGATTCCGTGATGAAGAATGATATGACCGCTGCGATAGTGGCCAGGAACCTTCTCACTCCCAAAGATAACAGACTACTTTCCAAACGGTCTGATGAGTTGGCTGTTAAGGATTCTCTGGCTCTCAGTGTTCAGTGTGCAGGTTCTGTGTCTAACATGGTCCAACGCCTATTTGCTCGAACCCCGCCAAGTTGAATCATCATTGGCGGCTGAAGTGATGAGTCTCAAACAGGGGATTAGAGGGCTCAAGCATGAGAATAAACAGTTGCACCAGCTCGCACATGACTATGCTACAAACATGAAGAGGAAGCTTGACCAGATGAAGGAATCTGATGGTCAGGTTTTACTTGATCATCAGAGATTTGTGGGTTTGTTCCAAAGGCATTTATTGCTTTCGTCTTCTGGGGCTGTACCGCGTAATGAAGCTCCAAATGATCAACCTCTGCTGCCTCCTCCTTCTAGGGTTCTGTCCAGTACTGAGGCTCTAAATGATCCCTCTCCAGTGCCTGCTCTTTCTGGGGCTCTACCGACTGCTGAGACTTCTCCTAAGCAACCTTTGTGAAGGCTCCCTCTTGTTTGTTTATTTTGACTCATGTATATGTACATATTTGTGACTTATCGGGGATATCAATAAATAGCTTTCCTTCATTTCAACGTATTGTGTTAAATACACCAAAGCCTTCTTCGCTAAGTTCTCTGAATTTTCTTTTGTTGAAGCTTGTATGTTGAAGCTTTGTGAGTGGAGCATGTAGGTTGAGGTAGTATTCCCTTAATTTCCCGAGTGAGGAAAACTTCTCGGTTGGAGACTTGGAAAATCCAAGTCACTGAGTGGGATCGGCTATATGAATCTTTGAACGCCATTGTGCTCGGTCATGTGTCATGTCCTCCGTTAGATCCAAGTACTCTAAGTCTTTTCTTTAGAGTCTCTTCCAAAGTTTTCCTAGGTCTTCCTCTACCCCTTCGGCCCTGAACCTCTGTCCCATAGTCGCATCTTC